AAATGCCTATTTTAGAGATATTTGTGTTAACGTCACTATGTGTGATTCATATCAGGTTTTTAGAGTGACGTACACAAGCCCCAATCTACTTAATGTACTGGACTCATCTGGGGCTCATATAGTTGAATGAAATATTTAAGAAGTTATTTTACGATGATTAATGTAAGGAAGATGTTGCCCTTAAAATAGGGGAAAATAAGTTATCTAGTGTTCTGGAATTAATGGTAATTTGGTGTGAAAACCATCTTATATGAGATGGCCTCCAAATTTTTTTGAATGTGAAGAAATAAACTGAATCTTCTTGCAAATCGTTTATTTTGACTTCCAAGAATATATTATGGTGATTCAAAACATTTGCATTGCACAAGTTTAGCACGTAATAATCAAGCCTTTGCATCTTGATCACATGTTTTCATTTAATGATTCTTTGAAATCTTGGATTTATTCTTGATTACAGCATGTTTTGTTACTGACCCAAACAACGATTTCCAATCTACTTCAACAATGGTCCAAAATCTCAACAAAAATTTACAAAATGCTACCATCTGTACCAAAAAAGAGACTTGCTAATTCTAAGTAAATCAAACTTCACATGCTAAATTTTTTTGAGCATACAAGTCAGATTTTACTAGGACTTCATATGGTACAGTGCTCAGATTTGGAAAATCCATAATTCACGCGTAATGAAGAGGCCTCTCACCAAGTTACAATCTAGTTGGCCCCAGCAATTACCTTTACATGAAGTCCTTATTGCATTTCATGATCATCCATCCAAAGATTCCAAACAGCCAACAGAGTTTAAAATGGGAATGTAACTCTAGCTGTTGCCTATTGGTAGTTATTAGGGAAAGAAAGTGAAATCGAAAAGGATTGACGTTACAGATAACTCTTTTGCAAATGCTAACTTGCTTGGTAAAATCTAAGTGGTTTTTAGGGTTTATAGTCAAATCTTGTTTGTATTACTGGTATTACCAATTTATATCCCACATAAACATAAAAGAGTAGTGGTGTATTTTACAAAAGTTTTTGCTTTAGTTAAAGATATTAAGGCCTTTACTCTCCTTTTTTTTTTTATGCAACGCATGTCTCTATGGTCAATATGATCCTGACCTCAAAAACTAGCACAATGACCTTCAAGGAACACCGGAAGGGGGTAAACAATCAATAAAAAAATATATATTTAATTTTTATTTTAAATAAATAAAAAATAAAAAAACTCAAATCTTTGCATTTAAATCATGCTTAAAGAGAAAATTCCCAATTTAATAGTTTGACCTAAATTTATCAATGAACACCATAAACATCACTAAATCTCTATCTATACTTTGATAACACTAAAGAAAATCAACCAATCTCATGATCGCTAAAACCATACACATAGGTGCAAATGCTTCCATCCGGACCACCTATATTCCATCAACAATTGTATGTCTACCATGTTGCACTGTCATCATTAATTGTAGCACTACAAAATTCTTCCACCAACCTTCAGTTTGGCTATACTAGCTAAGAAAATTCGTATGTATTCTCAATTAATACACTTTACATTGCAATACTTTAATTATTCTACCTAATGTTTTCTCATCTTTCTCTTTTCACTATGTAAATACCCTACCATAATGCAACAACAAAGCCATAGTCCTAAAAGTTTGAGATTGGCTAACAATAATTCCCACAAGAAACCACTCACAAATAGTTTAAAACAATTTCCAAGTTATGAGTAAGTTTTTTATATGCGTTCATAACTTGAAAAGGTTTTGCCATTCTAATGTCAGCGCAGGACAATGATGTTATGATGATCTCAAGCTTACCCTAATATCATGTGAGTGCATTTTAGTTTTATTCTGTAAAAGTCAAAATTTGCCTGTAAGCTTTAAAAAGAAAACAAGTGGAGCGTACCTTTTTTAAAAAGAGAAGCTTTCAAGCCATGCTTCCCTGATGTTGTATGATCAGCAGATTCAGCACATCATTGCCTGATATCCATTCAAATTTCATTATCACAATATGTATTACATCAAAACAAATTGCACTTCTTTTTTAATAAAAAATTATAAGTGAAACTAGTGCCATGATTGCATTAACATATTACTTTTAGCTTAAGATTCCACCAACCCCTGATTGGCTGATTGTAAGCTAAGGTTGTTGAGCATTAAAAAAGATGGAACAAACGATTTATTCTTCAGTTCTTTTTTGAAATCATTAATTCCTAAAAACGTAATTCAACCTTTTGGTGTCCCTATCAAAGTTTCAAGCTCAACTTAACACAATTACTAAATCAAAATAACACTGCAACACACTAAACATAGATTATGCTAAAACTGAAAGGGTAGTAGGGTATCATTGGATACCTAGTTGAGCCATCCTTGAGAAAGAAATCATGGACAAAGTACAGAAATGTGGATACTTGTTACATGGAGTATGGACACAACCACTTGAGTACGAGTAGCGTCGTCTAAACTATCCAAGGGTCTGATACACTAGAGCTTAAATTTTAGATATGGAAACTATGAATTGGACATAAATGTGTGCAAGAACACTGATGTGATGAACTGTATTGTTGATTAAGAAAACTTTTGCTCTTACTCAGATTAAGTGATGAGGGTATATTAAAGAGCTCGTGTCATATAATGAATCACTAATTTTGGACAGTGTTGCGATTGACAAGTTGATACGAGTAACTAATTTTGGACAGGGGCCGGGTGCATTAAGGATTGCGGAATTGAACCAAGGCCACTCCTCTAAAACAAAAGAAGTAATGTATAACTTAATCAGTTGTTTCACTAAATGTACATATTTGTTTTGTAACTTTTGTATGTGCTTTTGAATTTAAAATTCAGAGTAAAAGACCACCAATCAGCAAAGACATTCAACACAAACGGACAATCCTAATTCCCCAATGCCAAAAACCTACAATACATTTTGGTATCTAGATCCAAACCAAATATGAAGCTCAAGCACCAATATTGAAGAACACTACTACCACAGTACAAATGCTTACCTGAAATTAGCAGCATTTAAGCCTTTAATCCGCACTAAGCTTGTGCTTGCTGATCCTTGTCCTAGAATAATTGAATGCACGTAACAAACATTATATTCCTTTAACAAACATCGTGAGCAAAAAGGTTACACATTAGGATCGCATGTGTACATATTGTTTGAAATTGATATAGATACAAGTATACATATGATAGGGACATTTTTTTAAAAAAAATTGCTCTCATCGTCTCAAATTACTTGCCTCATTTTCTATATTTGAATGTTTCAATTACTTGTTTCATTCCTTCTATAGTAAACTTTAAATACGTGCAACATGCACGAGATATATATGTCGTATTGGACAAGAAAACACACCACCTTAAAAAAATGTTTTACCTAGGCTATATATCATCAAATAGCATAAAATGAGGGTAATAAAAACACAAATTCAATAGTACTCCATTTGATACTGTTGGCAATTCATTAATTTTGAGAAACATCAATTACACCAAATTGATCTAAATAAAAACACAAATTCAATAGTACTCCATTTGATACTGTTAGCAATTCATTAATTTTGAGAAACATCAATTACACCAAATTGATCTAAATAATCGTCAAAAAAAAAAAAAAAAATTTGATCTAAATAAAAACACAAATTCAATAGTACTCCATTTGATACCGTCAGCAATTCATGAATTTTGAGAAACATCACTTACACCAAATTGATCTAAATAAAAAAACAAATTCAATTGTATTCCGTATGATTTTGTTAGCAATTCATGAATTTTGAGAAACATCAATTACACCAAATTGATCTAAGAATTTTTTTTTTTTTTTTAACAACTCCGAAGTAACATTACATTGCTTCCGCCCTATCATAGTTAAGCAAAATTAAACAATTCACCATTGTAGAGCCAATTCAAATTACAGCAAATTTCAATCAGTCACAATTGAAGATTTGATTGAAAAAACCCTAACAATGTTGGCGCCAAATTTCAGGTGATAATCAGTGAATCGAAGTAAACATTACAGACGACATTAATATTCATTGATTTACTAAATAAATAAGCTAAATCAGACGAATTTAACATTGCAATAAAAAATCGAAGGAATAAAAAAAAATCATCAATTGAAGATGAATTACCTCAATTGCCGGCGTAACAGTTGACTCTTGCGAATTGCGAGAGCGGCTCTCTCTCTCTGTCTCTCATATTTTGAGCAATTGAGTATCGCGCGAAGTCATGAATCTTATACGGAGTGGGACCATAGCGGGAGTACTAGGTAATCATAGTATCCAGAGTTTTGGACTACCGTATTAAGGACATATTCTCTACAACTTATAGCTAAGCTAATTTCTAATTCTTATAAACAGTTCCAGTTTAGTTCAACTTAATTCACTAAATTATAATAGGTCCTAAGTAGAGTTGATCATCAATGGTCCGATTAATTTTGATTGGGATTAGGCAATAGGCATAATGTTAATGCTTGCAAAGTTGCAATGCGGTATTCAGATTTATTGAGATCCTAGACATGCTCAACTTGTGCTAATTAAATTAAGTAAATTGTCTGTCTCATTTAAATCCTACCTCGTGATTAATTCTATAGATCAATTTGATTATTTGGATGTAGAGATAGCATATTCAACATTGTTCACGCTTATCACTTTGTCAATTACTCAGTTTGTCAAGCTTTGATACATACTTCATTTTGAATGCTTAGATTCATCATTCATACACTTCATAGTTCATATGGTATTATGATCTATTTTAAAAACATTTGTTGGACATTCTCAAAGTCTCTCTTTTAAAATTAATTTTCTTTACTTGATTTTTACAAATCTGAAATGATTTTGGTTTACTAATCAAAACTATTTTTTACTTGCATCTTATTGTTTACTTTTTAAAAGTAGTGAAATTTGTTATTCCTTAATTTTGTTTTTTTAGTTTTTTTTTTCCACACTATAACCTCATTTTGAAAAGACGGACTGTATATTAGGCCTAATTATGCATGTTTAAACTATTCCTTATCCAAATGATCTAGCAAAAAGTCCCATATATATATAATTAGCAGACTTTCAATTATCAGCTTAACCAAGGATCATATGAATCAACAATGATCATTTTGAAACGTTTATAGAGTGATCATCTAACGCAAACTAATTGATGACTAAGTTACAATTTCAATTTAACCAAACAAAATAACAAACACTGAAATTGCTAAAACCAAAACAGGCATGACATTCATGCTTCCTGCATACATGGATTGACCAACCGCGTAGTTTTCTTGAGGAGGAGGAGCAGGAGGAGGAGGCAAGTTCTTGACGTCGATTGCGAGTTTCATGCCACCCCAACAATACCCTTTGCTGGTAATGAAATAATATGGTCTAGCCTCTGTGAGCTGGAAAACATCTCTACCACCTTTGGTTATATTTGCAATAAAATTCTCAGAATTACAATGCTCATAACTTGTTTGGTTCACCTCTAGTACATCAAAATAGTTCTTGTCAAACCTGAATACTGATCAAAGAAAAAAGGGGGAAAAAAAAAACCCAAAAATGTTTGGTAGATTGCAAAAAAAATAAATTAAAAAAAAAAAAAAAAAAACTTAAAAGTGTAAATGTGTAATATTTTAGACTTTTAGTTTTGCACGAAACACAACCATACTCCACAGTTCATGACCTTTGACAATATAAAATGTTACACTCAATAAAATTATCGTGCCTAAAGCCTACATTGGGCAAAAGGTCATTATTGTTGATTGTATATACCATATGTGATGGTTCAACTTTTCAATGAGCTAGCTTTTTTTCCGCCTCATTTCCTATAGTGAGCATTTTAAACCAACAAACATTATTAGTCATTAATGACTCAAGCTAAGATGCAAAGAATTTGATACATCAATTCTCTACCTCTAACTTTTACTCGTATAATAATTTGATTAATTAATTCTCTACCTCTAATAGTTTGAGTCATTAAGGTATCTAATAACATGAATTTCCATTAAATTTACAATTTTGATGAAAACTCAAAATGGTCAACTAGATTGAAAGAAAGTTTTCCCAGTAAAAGCCGTGTCACAATTCACGCACAAAAAAATATACAAAATAATAGTATATAAATTAGGTTTTTTTTTTAATCATAGCGCTCCATATCAATTATGATTGCAAGTACATTTTTATACTCGTATAATCAAAATAATGCTAATGTATTTTAAGATTTTACATTTTATACATATTCATAAACTTAAATAATACTCCGTAATAGTTATGTAGTATTTAATGTTTGCAACCGGGTTTGATTTAACTTTTTTTAATAACCTCAGTTTGATAAAAATTTCAAATCGCAATTCTAGGTGCACTTTAAAGCATCAATATTCAAAACAAATACATAAAATTGAAGAAAGCAAAACTCGTAAAAGACCAAGATAAATTAATATAGAGAGAAAGAATTACATAGCCATTCTCCAATGTAAAAGGTTTGTTGAGAGACCCAATACGTGTAGTTGATGCCTTGATTCCATCCTGCGTTTCCTCCGACAGTCACTAGCTCTCCGTTTACACCACCAAACATTAGCGTTACCAACACCACCACCCACATTATCACCAACTTCTCCCCTGAAAATATCATGATTTTTAATTAAACTCTAATATTTTTTTTATTTGGGTGCAATAATATGTTAAGTTATAAATGAATGATATGAATCAAGATTGATATGTTACTACTTATGATAGTGATTTGTTTCCTTAGTTGAGTGTAAAATCATAATGCACTATCAAATAAGATTTACACCATTTCTTGCCATTTGTGAGATATCACATATTCACATTGTATAATTACTTACCTTTTTGTGCATGATTCATCTCCTTTTAGAATTTCTCATTTATGACAGCTATGAAATGGGATGTCTTAAAAGCTGGGCTTGGGCTTGAGCTTTGCAGTGTAATTTTACGCGTTGTGTGTTTTGTGCTTAAATGAGTTATGCATGTGACAAATCACTATCTTTATAAAACGGTTTAAAATAACTCTTATAAATAGCGTTTGAACAATTATAACTTGTAAAATGTTTATTTACATATTTTCCATATTTGATGTAAATTATTTTTTTGTTATAACTTTTAAGAATTGTGTAAAAATATTTATACCGGTAGAAATATTTGTTTACATATTTTACCACAACTAAATTTGTGATGTAATATAAGGTCAAATTGAAAGACTTTTTAGACATAAATACCTATAACGCGCACCCTAATTAAGAAAAAGTTGTGTTATACCAAGCTCGCGTCGATTTTTTTATAATAGATAATGATTATTTGACTATCTCATGCCTTTGTTGGGCCTAGTGATTCTACCAGTTTTGGGCCTTGGATTTCCACCATGGACTGGACTAGGCGTTCTTAGTAAAAAAAATTCCTCTTTAATCAGTGAAGTATCATGTATTTTGTTCTTTAAAAATATTAAAATCCTGTTTAGAATTTGTGCACCAACTCACACTTACTACAACTCTCATAAGTCAAAAATTGCACCCTGTCTAAGAAAAGTCATACATGTCACCTAAATATACGTCATTTGTTTATATTAGCCTTTGAATTTCTTGCTTATACAACATTAATTGAACTCCTAATACTGCAGCAAGCTAGAAGAGAAAAATGAGTAGAGAAGGTAAGGTAGTCTGTGTCACCGGAGCGTCCGGTTACATTGCTTCATGGCTAGTGAAGCTCCTTCTTCAACGTGGTTACACCGTGAAAGCCACAGTTCGCGATCCTAGTATGTTTCCTCCTCCTCCCTTTTCTTTCTTTCATTATATCCTAAATTTTATTAAATTTTCCCACAATGTGCAAATTCTCATAAAGAACGATCTAACATATTAGCCTTGTTTGGCAATTGGCTGTTGGCTGCTGACAGTTTAATTTGGCTGGTTTGACTGGCTGTTAGCATTGACTGTTTGTAACAAATTGTGTATTACTGTAGATGATCCTAAGAAAGTAGAGCATTTGCGTTCTCTAGACGGAGCAAATGAACGGCTTTGCTTATTTCCTGCAAATCTGTTGGAGGAGGGTTCTTTTGATGCTGCTGTCGAATGTTGTGAAGGTGTTTTTCACACTGCATCCCCTTTAACCTACAGTTTTAAAGATCCACAGGTATCAAGTCACATATCTTTCGCTTTATATTACCTTCTCAAGATCCTAAAACAGTCCATTAATCGTCGATTAGGCTATCTATGGAGAAAGCAACATGTTTGATGGTAGCTGAATTGTGTAGTAAACTTTGTGTAGTGTATGATTAAGCTTGATTCTTTTGTTTCTTTCATTCTTTTATAAATTATCTTCCTGATTTTTCGGATTATATCAGGCTGAGTTGCTTGATCCTGCAGTGAAGGGAACACTTAATGTTCTTAACTCGTGCAAAATTTCCATCAATAAAGAGAGTAATTCTGACATCTTCAATAGCAGCAGTTGTATACAATGGCAAACCTTTAAGTCCTGAGGTGGTGGTTGACGAAAGCTGGTTTTCTGATCCCGATTTCTGTAGAAAATCAAAGGTGCTTATCATAATATCATCTACTTTGTACTTAATATTACTGATCTTTTAAAAAACCGATCCTTAACTAGTCCGGTTGAAGCTTGATCAAACTGCGAGTATACATGTGACAGAGTGCTCTGGTTATTCTGCAGGAGTGGTATGCTCTCTCAAAAGTATTGGCTGAAGATACTGCTTGGAAGTTTGCGAAAGACAAGGGTATTGACATGGTTACGATAAATCCATCAGTTGTTATCGGACCATTATTACAGCCAACGCTTAACACAAGTTCTGCTGCATTTGCACAACTATTCAGTGGTAAGCATTGTGTTTAAGTCTCCCAAAGTAACCTCACTTGTTTCAATCTCCCCGATTTCATCAGGAAATTGCCCCGGTATTGGACTGATAAGTCTGTCTGATGCTTGGAGAATCATGTTGTTATTACTGACAAATGACTGATTACTAATTCTGCGATTTCTGCAGGATCAGAAACTTATCCTAACATAACATTCAGTTGGGTTCATGTCAAAGATGTAGCCAATGCTCATATCCTGGCACTCGAGGTACCTTCTGCTAATGGAAGATATAATTTAGCTGAAACTGTCTCCCATTTCTCAGAAACAGTGAGGATACTAAGAGAGCTCTACCCTGACGCCGTACTCCCTGAAAAGTAAGCTGTTTCCTTCTTCTGTCAGGTGTCCTATATTCTGCTTGTTCCTGATACTTATCTGAGGGACCAAATTTGTACAGGTGTGCAGATGATGGTCCTTTGGAGCCGGCATTTCAGGTTTCGCAGGAGAAAGCTCGCAGTTTGGGTGTCGACTATATCCCATTTAAAACAAGTCTCAAGGAGACTGTTGAAAGCCTCAGAGAGAAGGGGTTTATCAGCTTCTGAAATTCATTTGAAGATGTTAAGCTAGTATATGAAAGTGCTCGAGTTTATGTTGAACTAATGTAATTTATGAGTGATTGTATCTGTATGCTGCATTGGTGAGTGCTAGTTTGGATATTGCTGTGCATCAAAGGCATACTAGGAGTGTCAGTTTGGATATTGAGTTGAAATTATCATAGATCAAGTGCTTATTATTGCTGAGTTTTGATGTTATTAATGGATCAACTAGACATAATAAAAATTTAAACCACTAGTGTGATAGTGTCACATTCTCACATACGTAGTATAAAGTACTATCAATTTTAATCTTTATTATTATTATTATTATTATTATTTTTTTTTTTAATTTTTTTTTATTACATACATATTTGATCAAACAATTGATAAGAATCGTATAAATAAACTCGAGGGGCAACTTGAGACGGAGATTCCCTACATTTTCTCAAACCTCTTCAAAGTACCTTTCTCGCTAATCCGAACTGAATTGACTCGTGAGAGATTGTTTGATAAGTCACTTTCTCCTTATCTACAAATAAATCAATACATATTGAGTTTTTAATTTTTCCAAACTCATAATTATGCCTAATCCCTAAGCATAATTATTTACTTCCTTAAAAAATCTGCTACGAATGTCCTTTGCATCGGACAATTATTAATGTAGGGTACATTCGGATGAGCCCTGAATTTATCTGTGCACTTTTGCACCATGACTCCATCTAATAGTTAGACCCCCGTTCACTTCACCTTAACTTTAATAAACCGAAATTATTTTTTCTAAACTGATATTATTATTTACTGATTTTCATTAATATATAATTTTTTTAAGGTGATACGGAATACATTTGGATGAACACCGTAATACATCCGGATTCTCTCCGGTGCATCACATAAGCCAAAAATCAAATTGGAGTGGTTGTCTATATTAACCACGACGTCTTAACCTCACCAACTCACCATAATTATCGAAACACTCACGTCACTAATGATGTGGTCTTACTCTTAACATTTATGTGTTACATTCCATCTTTGACCGACACATATTTATTTATTTATTTTATTGGTCGTAATCGCAATTAATTCCGTCGTATTTATTTATTTATAGTAAGAAAATAACTGAAAATTAGAAGGTGAATAGTTTCATCTCAACAAACTTCACAGTTCACAGTTCACACTTTCACAGTAGCAGCGAGTAAGAGAGAGAAAGAGCGAGGAGAGAGAAAATGAGCGGAGCAGGGAAGACGGTGTGTGTCACCGGTGCATCCGGTTACATCGCTTCATGGCTAGTTAAGCTTCTTCTTCAGCGCGGTTACTCTGTTCGAGCCACAGTTCGTGATCCCAGTTTGTTTCTTTCTCTCTCTCTCTCTCTCTTTTTTAAAAAGAATTTCGTTGTTTTTTTTTTCGATTATTGAATTTTGGTGGGTTTGTTTCGTATTTATAATTGATGATGTAATTGAATTATAAAATTTGGTTGGGTTGTGGTTGGAATTGTGTTGAGGGATTTTGGTGATGATTGCGTTTGATGTTTTGCATTTGCTGAATTTTGGTGTGTAATTTTTCGTAATTTGGGGTTAGTTTTGTGTTTGTTAGAGTTATTTTTGTTGAATTTCGTGGATGATTTTAGGGTTTTTTTTTAACTTTCTGCATTCATTTCTGATTGCGTTTATCAAATTGTTTTGGGTTGTGGGAGATAGTATAAGATTAATTTAGGAAAAATGTTGGAGAATTGAAGATAAGACTGATTGTTGTCGAAGATTAAATCGAGGTTGATTTGTATATAGTCCTATACAAAGGATTTTTTGGTCACCATTTGGTTTGGATTAGAGAGATGCTGATTTCTGGACCGACTTGGCCATTAAAGAAACTATAAAAAAGAAAAATTTGATCAACCTGAACTTGATTAGATCGTATGCAATCTGATTCAATCGATTTTTGTTTTACACAACCCCGAAAATTATCTAAGCTTGTAATTGAACTGTATCATCCCTTGTCACTTATTGTGGTCTACAAAAAGAGCAAAGGAAAAAGGGAAAGAAAAAAGGAATTATGCACTTCCCTATCCTATTTTATACTAATTATTGTTTGCCCCTTTTTGCAAAATCAGCACACCCTAGAATTTGCTTTTCCTCCAGCTCTTTGTTTATATATTTTTGGTCACCATCACTAACTAGCTTTTCCGCTTCATATTACACCCAAATACCCAATTCAGTTAGGGTGCTACTAAAGTATCTCAACAGTTATTTCAATCTACTTAATACTATACTACCCTTAAGTGGACAGAGTTCAAATGTAGACTTGTCTTATGATTACTTGGGTTTGTGGGTATTGGGAAATGGGAAGTAGTATGTAAGTGTTTCTGGTGTCGATGTGCAGGAACTGCAAATGGAAGTTTCTGCAAACCATTGTCTATTCGTGAATGTAAGTATTAAATCAGATAAGTCTATGCAAAGAGTGTGCTTTGAGAGAGCAAATACATTTGCATTGGCTTTTCATTTAGTCATACACTCCCTACACTGAAGTAGTATAGACTGGGGAGGTGCTGGAGAGGGAAGAACGAAGTTGTAATAAAGTATTCCAGGCTTTCTATATATCTAGCAGACTGGGGATTACATTGGCATCATTTTTTTGAAAGAATAGATCACATTATATTGCTAATTTTTTTATATTGTTGTGTGATATGCCCAAACCTGATTATCTTCTCTTGTTCTCTATCAGCTCAGCAACTTTTTGAAAAGATGTAATGGTCTTTTTTTTTTATTCAATTTTGTAGTTGGATAGCTTTTTTTATGGAGGAGTTGCTTCTTGTTGCAGATAATCCGAAGAAAGTTGAGCACTTACTTTCTCTAAATGGAGCTAAGGAGCGACTTCACTTGTTTACTGCAAACCTGTTGCAGGAGGGATCTTTTGATGCTGCTGTAGAGGGTTGTGATGGTGTTTTTCACACTGCTTCTCCTTTCTACCATGATGTTAAAGACCCAGAGGTTCAACTTTTCCTTTGCTCATTTTCTTTGTTCTTTCCTTGCATGCTGTTCATTACATATGGCATATTGGTTGTGGGCCTTTGATATATAGAATCACGATATGTTCTGTGTACTAGTGACCTTTGGACTATATATCTGTTACCAGTTAGACTGGTTCTTTGTAAGCCTGCTCATTTGACACTACCGTAATTTTGAGAATACACAGTTCTGTTGTGGTCATTGTTGTGGGGAGAGAGGGTTTCATGTAATTGCAAGTAGTACTTACAAGATGAGACCACCTAACATTGTTGTTTTGCTGCCTTGTACAAATATAAACCTGGTACCCACATCATTTTTGTGGGGAACCATCTCTGTACCATCGTCATTTTTATGATGTATAATTTTTCTATTAATATTGTATTGCTTTGTGTGCCTTACTAGATTACTAGGTAAACAGAGCTGGCAAGTAGCATGTATATAGTTTGTTAGTGCACCATGCTAAGCAGTTATGTTAATGTTTATTTGGTTTATAGATGATTTTTTCCTTCTTGACCTGTTTTCTTCACTTCTTATTAGGCTGAATTGCTTGATCCTGCTGTTAAGGGAACGCTTAATGTTCTCAATGCCTGTGCAAAAGTCCCATCAATAAAAAGGGTGGTGCTGACATCTTCAATGGCAGCGGTTGCTTACAATAGCAGACCTCGAACTCCGGAGGTGGTGGTTGATGAAACCTGGTTTACTGATGCAAATCTCTGCAGGGAATCAAAGGTGCGTAAATGTCAAACTATTGCTGCTTCACTTTTAAATGTGACTTGGGAAGGGATCATAGAATTAAGTTAACCGATGCCAGCTGCTTTGTTGTGTCTTCAATGTGTAGGGACTGAAGCTGTAATCAACGTTAGGAACTTAGGATAGTTTTTATTTTTGAAACCAGGAACTTAGGATAGTTAACACTGGTTGTGCATGCCAACTTTTTAATTTAAGAGGGCTTTGGATTTGGATCAAATCCCATATATTTTTGCTGTGTGCATTTCTTACTGTGATGTTTATGGCCTATGATGCTTATTCTCTCAGTTTGTTGACACATACATTCCAAGCCTCTTGTCTAAAAATATCATATTCAAACTTCTAAATCTTTTGAGCTTATACAGATGTGGTATATGCTCTCTAAAACTTTGGCTGAAGAAGCAGCATGGAAAATTGTGAAAGAGAAGGGCATTGATATGGTGACTATCAATCCGGCAATGGTTATTGGACCACTGTTGCAGCCAACACTCAACACAAGTGCTGCTGCAATAGCGAAATTATTTGGTATGTGTCTTGAGAAATTATTTTGTTCCTATCAAGACAAGCTGATCCTTTTTAAACTACAGCTGTTTTTGATAATTTTTTTATTCCCAATCTTGCAGGTTCTGAAACTTATAAAAACATGACTCTTGGTTGGGTACATGTTAAAGATGTTGCCATGGCACATATTCTGGCACTTGAAGTGTCTTCAGCTGAAGGAAGATACTGCTTAGTCGAAAGCACTGCCCATTATGCAGATATTGTGAAGATTTTGAAAGAGCTTTATCCAAATGCCAAACTACCTGAAAAGTAAGTTATTTCCATCTTCAGTATCCCTGCTGTTAGGTGCCCTATCTTATGGTCAGATAGGGGAGAGTGTTTGTTTCCATATTGCTAACTTTCTGAACCTCCAAATTACTTCAGGTGTGAAGATGACAGTCCTTTGAAGCCATTATACCAAGTCTCGAAGAAGAAAACTCAGAGTTTGGGCATCAACTATATTCCTCTCAAAACAAGCGTCAAGGAGACTGTTGAAAGCCTGAAGGAGAAGGGGTTTGTCAGCATTTAAGTTACACATGAAATCAATGGCTGGTTTTAATAAGGGGCTTTTGATTGATCTTTGTATGTGTTGGTGTGTCATGTTGCTTATGCATGACTTTAGCAAGTACCCCTGGATATTATTCTCAAAACTTGTCTTAAAACTTTTTATGCATTTATAATAAGGGTTACTCTACATTACTTCATAATTGTCTTAACATCCTCACCATACACAGATCATGGATGTATGGCATCTGGTTATATATATATATATATATTCGGAGTAGCTTCATGGCTAGTCAATGCTACTGTTTGCGATCCAATTATGTCCTTTTTCTGTAATTTCTATTAGTACTTGTAGGGCCTGTTTTCATTGAGCTGAGCTGGGCTGGGCTGGGCTGGGCTGAGAGAACAGGCCCGTATTTTATAGTTGACATTTTATTATATGAAGTGCACATTAAGTAGGTGATTTAATGGGACTTTAGCCCCTCTCCTTCACAAAAAAAAAAAAAAAAAAAAAAAATTAATTATGTGTTTGTTTAATTTCCAAATAATTCTAGATACATAGCTCTAGCATTGTAGTGCATATTTTAATTATAAAATTATTTGCTGACCAAGTACATATTTTAATATTTGACATGTTTGTTGATTTATTTACGGTTTTTAAGGTGATAAACCGGGGCTCCCTTGTGATTTCACATTTATTTTTCAAAAAAATTGTCACTGGTGAAGTGGAATGGTCAATTGTGGATCCCTTGACATGTTTTGGACACAATAATTTATCTTGTTGTAGGAAGGAAAAAATGTGTCCTGGAAAATGGTAAATTCATCCATTATTATTTATCTTATCATGTAATTTCTGTCAATATCATGCATTGACTTGAAATTGCACACTCCCTTTGTAATCATGAATTTTATATAGTATGACAATCAAATTAAACTCCTTATTAACACGTCATCAGTGACCTCCAATGAATATGGGTAGTGATAAATAAGCACGTCACTAATGATGTTATAGTTAGACATGTACTCTGTATTTTTATTCTTTTAAATAAACAACCGATAAATGGAACAATGGAAGGTTGATCATCTCATAAAGTCACTCAACAAAGTAGCAGCAAGCGAGAGGAGAGAGAGAGAATGAGCGGAGCAGGGAAGATGGTGTGTGTGACCGGAGCATCCGGTTACATAGCTTCATGGCTGGTTAAGCTTCTTCTTCAACGGGGTTACTTTGTCAATGCCACCGTTCGTGATCTCAGTTTGTTTCTTTCTCTCTTTTCTTTCTCTTAAATAATCTTTTGTTTTAATCGGTTGTTGAGTCTTTGTATGTTTGTTTCTTATTTACAAAGTATATGATATGTAAACTGCTTGGTGCTTGCAAAGAAACATTGGTCTCTCTCTCGTTCTTTTTAATAGCTTTGTTATGGACAAATATTGCTTTTTCTTGCAGATGATCCTAAGAAAGTTGAGCATTTACGTTCACTAGATGGAGCTAAGGACCGACTTCACTTGTTTACAGCGAACCTGTTGGAGGATGGATCTTTTGATGCTGCATTAGAAGGGTGTGAAGGTGTTTTTCACACTGCTTCTCCCTTCTTTCTCAATATTAAAGATCCAGAGGTTCAACTCTTCCTTTACACATTTCTTTTCTTATTCCTTCCATGCTATTGCATAGTACACGTGGTGACACTTTCGTGTATAACTGTGTTCTGTAATTCACGAATGACCTATGGACTACATGATCGAGTGTACATCTGTTTCTATTTCAAGTAGTTCTTTGTAAACCTGGTCATTTAGAATACTCGGATATATACCAGTCTGTTGCAGGGGTGTGTTCGTAGGGGTTCATGAAATAAAATTTCTGTTCTGTTGCGTTGTATAAAACTGACCTGCATTGGTTTTTTTGGTGAATTGTAGCTGTACATGTTTGTTTTTACGGCTTTATTCATTGTTACTTGTATTATTGTAGCATTGGCAGCTGATTTTTGTGCTTACATGTTTTTATGTTAAGCAGTGATGTTTGTGGTTATTTTGGTTTATAGTTGATATTTCCTTCTTGACCTGTTTTTCATGACTTCTTCATACCAGGCTGAATTGCTTGATCCTGCTGTGAAAGGAACACTTAATGTCCTCAAATCCTGTGCAAAATTCCCATCAATTAAAAGAGTAGTTCTAACATCTTCAATGGCCGCGGTTACACACAATGGTAGACCTCTAACTCCAGAAGTGGTGGTTGATGAAACCTGGTTTACTGACCCAAATCTCGTTAGGGAATCAAAGGTGTGCAATTTTTTGAACCTGTAATCAAACTTATGTTCTTTACTTTCGTCACTAATTTAAGTGACCCTGGAAAAGGGATTATAGAAACTATGAACCAATGCCAGCTGATTGCCTGCATTCAGTGTTAAGATGGTTAATAGTGTTTAATTATCTAAACATCATATAAATCTTCAGAATTGTAAGTCTTTTGAGTTGGTACAGATGTGGTACGTGCTCTCTAAGATTTTAGCCGAGGAAGCTGCTTGGAAGTTTGTGAAAGAAAAGGGTATTGATATGGTGACTATTAATCCTGCAGTGGTTATCGGACCATTGCTGCAGCCAACACTCAACACAAGCGCTGCTATAATAGTGAGCTTATTTGATGGTACGTGTCATTGTGAGAAATTTCTGTTGTCTTTTGCAAGACGATTTGTGCTAGCCTTTTAAACTACAGCAATTAACATGTATGCTTATTGCAATAATGCAGGTTCCGAGACATTTAATAACATGACTTTTGGTTGGGTACATGTTAAAGATGTTGCCATGGCACATATCCTGGCATTTGAAGTCCCTTCAGCTAAAGGAAGGTATTGTTTAGTCGAAAGTGTTGCACATTATGATTCAGATATTGTTAAGGTGTTAAAAGAGCTTTATCCAAAGGCGGTACTCTTTTCAAAGTAAGTTGTTTCTGTCTTCAGTATTCTTTCTATTAGGCATCCTACCTTCTCTTCAGAGACATGAGAACAAGCTATTTCCTTATTGGTAACATTTTGAGCTGCCAAATAATTTCAGGTGCAAAGATGACAGTCCATTGAAGCCTGTTTACCAGGTTTCAAAGGAGAAAACTCGAAGTTTGGGCATCGATTATATTCCTCTTAAAACAAGCCTTAAGGAGACTGTTGAAAGCCTGAAGGAGAAGGGGTTTATCAGCATTTAAGTCGATCAATAACTAGTTTTGAAAAAGTACTTTTGATTGTTACTAAAAACCAATAGTTTTAGTTAAGATTTTGTATTGGTATGAGTCATTTTGCTTTATGTATGACTACTTTTAAATATTCAAAGAAGAGTAATAAGCATTTCCATCATGTTTAGAAAAGAAGGGTCTTCTTATTTACACTTGTATAAAACCTTAGTCATTATAAGCATACAATGAAACCTTTCATTTAACTCTAAATAAGTATATAAGTTATATAAAGTTGATATTAGGAAATTAATCAGTAAGACGATTCCAACAAGTATCAAAATAGATTATGTAAATCTTGCAAAAAGTTATTTTAAAGGTGAAAAGCCAAAAATCAATATTACAGAGTAAAAGCTACGAGTAGTAAGCTTTTAAATTTTTGGTTGAAAAAGCCTTTAATTAATAAAAAGTCATTTACCAAACGGTTTTTTTTTTTTTTTTTTTTTTTTTTTTTTTTGACCAAGATAAAAAGCCAAAAGTTGATGAAATAGCTACCCAAATGGCCAAGAGTCATTTGCAAAACATCCCCTTAAAAAACAAAGGGAGTAGTATATATGTACTCGGGAAAAATATGTAATCCCTCCATCCCTTAATTATTTACATGTCTTTTCTTTCATTTATTACTTATAATAGAGAGAAATAGGCATATAATTAAGAGACGGAGGGAGTACCATACAATAATTTAAATGTTTAATTAATACTTTACCATCTACCAGAGACTACCACCAGAATTACGTGTGGAAGTGATATACTGACATCGCACTCTTCAAAATTTTTGGTTAACAGTTTTTTTTTAGTGTCTTTAAAAGAAAAAAAAAATGTCCTCAAAAAAAACAACTGGTTAACATTGTTCAAAATAAAAAGCTAGCCTATCTATTTTTCTCTATCTTCTTTCTATTCAGTATCTTGTTTCTATTTAATAAAAACAAGAAGAAGATGGATGAAATTGCAAAAGAAAAGAAGGTGTGTGTAACAGGAGCATCTGGTTACATAGCTTCATGGCTTGTCAAATTATTGCTTCAACGTGGTTATACTGTCAATGCTACTGTTCGTAACCCAAGTATGTCCTTCATCCTTTTCTTTTCTTTCTTAATTTCGATAATTAATTAACGGGAAAATTCTATTCAAAAAAAAAAAAAAAAAAATAACTGGAAAATTCAAGTATGGAAATATATCTCCTCCCATATACTAGTATATTGTTTTGGTTTTATTTTCTAAATCATAAAAGTAAAATATTAAAGTGGTACAGAAAAAAAAATGCGTGATTAATTGAGACTCCCACTTAATTAACTATTAGTACTATATATATATATATATATCTATATATATATATAGAAATGGGATCATGTGAGAACCCATTGCTTAGGTGAGAACAATTTTAAAATGAGAACTCATCTAACACCATTCATTTTTATTAGATGAATGATTCAGATTTATTGTTTCATTAGTGGGAATTCACGTAGGCCACCTTCATTAATTATAATGATTGTTTGTATTTTTTTTTAATTTTTGTGCATTGGGACACAAAATCTGCCAAAAGCTGTCATTATTACATGCTTTTTATTATTTATTGCATTGAAACACGTTACGTTAACATGTAGTTGAAGTGTACGTCGTTAATGATGTTTCGTAAAATATATCAAGTGTTTCAATTTATAATATTAATGTTTCATATATATTATTGCTTGTTTCATACAGTTAGGCTCTATATGAACTAGGTGTACTGTAATTTCTTATATCTTATCTGATGTTTCAAAAAATATACCTTATGTTTCATCTTATAGTGTTTATGTTCCATAAAATATATGTACTGTTTCATATACTAATGATATTGTTTTATACATAAAAATCATTGATGTTTCATATAATATTTCATTCGAATATTATTTATATTGTTCCACAAATAAGAACTATTGTCCCATAAATATTATACATTATTCCATACCATATGTGTGAATGTACTAATGACTGAAATGCATGTTCCCAAGAAAATTAAAAAGCATGTATCAATGACTGAAATGCGTGTTCCCAAGAAAATGTTTGGGAAAGTGATAATTAATCTCAGCCATCCATTAAGTGTAGTTGGTGTACGTTAATGATGTTTCGTAAAATATATCAAGTGTTTCAATTTATAATATTAATGTTTCATATATATTATTGCTTGTTTCATATAGTTGGGCTCTATATGAACTAGGTTTACAGTGATTTCTTATACCTTATTGATGTTTCAAAAAACATACCTTATGTTTCATTTTATACTATTTATATTCCATAAAATATATGTATTGTTTCATATACTAATGATATTGTTTTATACATAAAAATCATTGATGTTTCATATAATATTTCATTCGAATATTATTTATATTGTTCCACAAATAAGAACTATTGTCCCATAAATATTATACATTGTTCCATACCATATGTGTGAAATATACCAACGACTGAAATGCGTGTTCCCAAGAAAATTAAAAAGCATGTATCAATGACTGAAATGCGTGTTCCCAAGAAAATGCATGGGAAAGTGATAATTAATCTCAGCCATCCATTATGTGTAGTTGGTGTACGTTAATGATATTTCGTAAAATATATCAAGTGTTTCAATTTATAATATTAATGTTTCATATATATTATTGCTTGTTTCATATAGTTGAGCTCTATATGAACTAGGTTTACTGTGATTTCTTATACCTTATTGATGTTTCAAAAAACATACCTTATGTTTCATTTTATACTACTAATGTTCCATAAAATATATGTATTGTTTCATATACTAATGATATTGTTTTATACATAAAAATCATTGATGTTTCATATAATATTTCATTCGAATATTATTTATTTTGTTTCAAAAATATGAACTATTGTCCCATAAATATTATACATTGTTCCATAAATTTGAAATAATGTACCACACATATGGTCTATTGTTCCATAGCCATGAACTAGTGTTCCAATTGGATGATATGCTCATTATTGTCAAATAATAACTATATTGTTCAATAAATATGAACTATTGTCCCATAAATATTATATATTGTTTCATTTATAAGAACTAGTGTTCCAATTACATGATATGCTCATAGTTCCAATTACATGATATGTCTCACCATATTAATTCTTATGTATGAACAATGTATAATATTTATGGGACAATTGTTCATATTTCTGGAACAATATAAATAAAATTCGAATGAAATATTATATGAAACATCAATGATTTTTATGTATAAAACAATATCATTAGTATATGAAACAATACAAATATTTTATGGATCATAAATAGTATAAAATGAAACATAAGGTATGTTTTTTGACACATCAATAAGGTATAAGAAATCACAGTAAATCGAGTTCATATAGAGCCCAACTATATGAAACAAGCAATAATATATATGAAACATTAATATTATAAATTGAAACACTTAATATATTTTATGAAACATCATTAACGTACACTTCAACTACATTTTAACATAACGTTGACAACACAATTCAATGTAACATTACATTTTTTAATTGAAACAGCGACAAGTTTTTTTGAAACAATAATATCTTTTGAAACATCTCAAAAATTATTCCTTTAATACAATAAAATAAGTAATTAATACTGTTCCAATTGGATGATATTCCACATACAAATTTGCTCTTTTTTTGCACTGCTTCGAAAATTCTACCAAAAAAAATCAAACGAACTCCAAAAATTCTGAAATTTTATATGCTTATTCTACACAAAAAAATAAGCAGATTCAAAAAAAGAATTGCTTCAAAGGGTTTTTTTTAGAGATAAATCTTCATTTGAAATCTGTCTTTCCAGATTTGCTCCTTTTTTGCACTACTTCGAAAATTCTACCCAAAAAAATATCAAACGAACTCAAAAAATTATGAAATTTTGTATGCTTATTCTACACAAAAAAATAATCAAATTAAAAAAAACGCTTCAAAAGCTTTCTTTATGAGAGAGAAATCTTCATTTAAAATCTGCCTTCATTTCTCTCTCTTCAATGGCTAAATTAAAATGAAACCAGATTTTCCATTTTCTCTCTCTTCAATGGCTGAATCTCTTGGTTTTATAGTACATAAATCGTTGTTTCAATGCAGAAAATAAGGAAAAAAAATTAAAAAGCATGTACCAATGACTGAAATGCGTGTTCCCAAGAAAATGCATGGGAAAGTGATAATTAATCTCAGTCATCCATAATCTCATAATTGATGGTGCAAGATTGGTTCTTATTTTAAGAGGGTTCTCATATAAGCCTTGGTTCTCACATGATCCCTCCCCTATATATATATATATATATATATATATATATCAAACTAAAAGTAGAAAAATTAAATTAAAATGAACATTAATTACACCGATTGACGCGTGATTTTGTGATGCTTTCAAATTAATACTCCGTAGCATTTTAGACAATATTTTAAATGTTTATCCAACGCCCCCTTCGTTAGCAAATATTATGTTAGATTGTTAGTAATCAATTTTTAAGCTAAGTGTCAAAACATTTTGATCACTTATTGACATAACAAAAATCTTATTTGTCTTATAAACAAAATCACATACACGAGCTAATAAGTGGTTGTTAGACAAGATGTCGAATATGTTTGGTTAGTTCATTATGTATGGTTGACTTTTTTGGCTTTCCAATTTAGATGATTCCGATAAAACAGAGCATTTGCTGAAATTGGAAGGTGCAAAAGAAAGGTTACATTTTTTCAAAGCAAATCTAATTGAAGAAGGCTCCTTTGACTCCGCTATTGTTGGATGTGAAGGTGTTTTTCACACTGCTTCCCCAGTTGTTTTTAGTCCCAAAGATCCCCAGGTCCTTTTTTTTTTTTTTTTTTTTTTTTTTCATTTTCTACTCCTCTCCATATATTACTTGCATTTTACCTCCCTCTAGTATGTTCGGAATCAGATCGATAGTCATGTTAAACTTGTAACGTAACAACTACTTTCAGACGGAGGGAGTATAACATATTTTGATCAAATTTTATACAGGTCGATTTACTTGACCCGGCCATCAAGGGAACACTTAATATTCTAGCATCTTGTAAGAAGTTTCCAGCCGTAAGACGAGTGGTTTTAACTTCATCTATGGCAACATCTACTTTTACTAGTAGACCCTTAACTCCTGATGTGGTGGTTGATGAAACTTGGTTTTCTGATCCTGAATTATGCAAGGGTTCAGATATGGTAAGCCTATCTCCTTTGTATCTGTTTTTAGGTGCATTATTTCTACAATCCATCAATATACTACCTCTGTTACCAAAGTTGCATGTAACATTTAACCAATCATGGAGATGCCCCCCCTGTCACTGGCCAGGGCTAGCAACTAGTTGGCGTATGTGGTTCCAAACAACATTTATTACTCCTAGATGCATTTCCACCAATGCTTTAATTTTTTGACGTTATGTCCCAAAAATCATTATAACGTGTCTTATTTCATGTATTTATAACCTTTATGAAAAACATTTTTAATCCGATAAATAGGCATCAAGGTCCGATCCTTCTTATGCTTTCCATAAGACCATGGTCCTTAGGGTATGGAGGCCTATTTGGTAATTAATTAGAACCATCTAATTCATTCATTGTCTCATGATTTGCACCCTTCGTAATCATGTTTCGCCACCTTATTGGTTTTTGTGTACAGATGTATTATGTACTCTCAAAAGTATTAGCCGAAGAAGCGGCTTGGAAATATGCCAAAGAGAATGACATTGACATGGTGTCTATCAATCCTTCCATGGTCATTGGGCCTATGTTGAAGCCAACTATTAATGATAGTGTAGCTTCAATATTAAACTTAATTAATGGTATGTTAGTCTCTCTCTCTACTCTTTAATTAAGTGATGGTTACATGTAAATACTCGTAGATAGCATGAAGTTCGATATCCTGTGTTGTTTGGTTGATAAAAGAGAAAAATTACCTTCTTTCTAATTGGAATTTCTTAGGTATTTAAAAAAATTCTTATAGGCAAATTCATATAGGATTTAATTTCTTTGTACATTTCATCGGTATTGATACTTTTACATTTTATCGAAAGGTAAACATGTATGTGACATAGTTTTTCATCTCATTTTCATTGGTTTTTTTTTGACAATTATCAAGGGTCTGATTATTATCCAGACTTAGCATGTCCATGGGTACACGTTAAAGATGTCGCGGAAGCTCATATACGTGCATTTGAAATTCCTTCAGCTAAGGGACGATATAATTTAGGTGGAAGGGTGTTACATTTTTCTGATGTTAAGAAGATATTGCATGAGCTCTATCCCTCTATAAAGCTTCCTAATAAGTGAGATTTTTATTTATTTATTACTCCCTAATTCTTTCAATCTTTCAAAAATTTATTCACTTTTAGTAATTTTGTATGTCTAATATTCTAATGTTTAGACAAGAAAAGGGTGTTTTAGCTTTGTTAAGACACCACCTCTTGTCTAAAGGTTAGATGCTAAAATTTTTAGATTTTTAGATTATGTGATTTGAAATTTTGGAACTATTTTCAGGTGTGTGGATGTTGGTGACGCTTTACCAAAAACAATTTATCAACTTTCAAACGTTAAAGTCAAAAGTTTGGGCATTATTGAGTATATACCTTTCGAAGTAAGCCTTAAAGAGACTGTGGAAAATCTGAAGGAGTTGAAATTTGTTTAGTTTGTTAAACTTCAATTAATGATGCCAATTATAAATTATGCTACTTCTATTTTCTTCTAATTGTATAGCTTGAATTTAGAACTATTTATTCATTTATTAGCTTTGACTATGTATGTTACTACATAATTTATAAATATAATGTATCGATGCAAGATGTTATTATCTTCATGTCGATTGTATGCAAAAAAAAAAAAAAAAAAAAAGGATTTTTAGCCTATTTTAAGACCTAGAGTATATCGAAGAAAAAAATATATTGTAATTGAACTTTGAATTAGATTTTCTAAAATATCGAAGGAACACTCTTTTATGCTCCCTCCATTTTAAAATAAATGTCTTACTTTGACTTTTACACTATTTACATACATCCGACGAAATAGTCTCAATATATAGTTTTCGAATACCAACTTCTTATAATTCATATATATTAATTTAATATATATATATATATTTATTTTTTGACGGATATTAATTTGATATATTATTAGTCAAAGTTATACCTTAACTAATATTCCAATTAAATTACTACGAAGATTGAAACAAAGAGAGTACTAGTGTAGTCATATCTTTCCTAACAATAGAGGTTTGTTAGCTAGTAGACTGGACCTACTAGTTCAAGCTTTCACCTGGAGCCCCTGTAGATTGAAGATTGGCTAGAAATGGATCAAATTGATTGGACCGATTATTTTGCATTTGTCCTGTTTTCGGGAAAAAGACCAAAATTTGAACTTTTTTTTTTGTGAAGAAAATTTGATTTAAAATTTACTAGGAGTAAGAGTAAAAAATAAATAAATAAACAAATAAAATGATAACCTCTTCTATCCATTACCAATTTACCATCAAAAGGAGTATGTGTTAGTGTGTTTTTTTTTTTTTTTTTTGATGCGAAAGAGGGAAGAACCTATACAAGAAGCAAACTTAACCAACTAAACGTGGCAAAGCCACCCCAACGATATCCTCATGAAGAAGGGAGGTGATTTCCAATGGTGCAACATCGAAATAGCTCACCTTCTCCCTTTGGATGACTCCTAAATTAGCTAGACTATCCGCTACTTTATTCCCCTCCCTATAACAATGAACAACATGAACTGACCACCTAGAAGAATTTAACAACTCACGACAATTATTTAAAACATGAAAACACTCTCCTCCTTGAATATCTGGATTTTTTAAAGCCTCGATGCACGCTTGATTGTTCATCTGGAGTTAAGCTTAGTGACTGACTTCTTCATGGCCATTTCTAATCCCAGTTCAGCTGCTAATAACTCTGCTTTATAGGCAGTACAAACTCCAAACTTGGCAGTAAATCCGCACAAAAAGACCCCAGAGCTGTCCCTCAGCAGACCACCACCACCTGCCTGACCTGGTGAGCCTTTGGAAGCCCCATCAGTATTTAGAACAATCCAATCCGCAGGGGGAGCCTTCCATCTCACATAAATTTCTCTTCTGGGTTGAGGCTGGAATTTATTGACACAAATAATGCGTTTAGGGTCATGAAACGCACTCCAGACTTCATCAACTTGGCCTTTGATGAACTCCCCTGTATGCACAGGGATATCGCTTTCCCTACCAAAGGTAACAGAATTTCGCCATCTCCATTGCCACCAAACAGTCATGGCAAAGCAAGTGGCCCAGTTTTCAGCATAAAAATTACCATTAGCTTCTAGATTTTGAATCATCCAATTCTCTAAATCAGAAGACCAAAAGCTGGGATGGTTAGTAGCACCTCCTACACTCTTCCAGATTGCTGTAGCTGCAGGGCAGTCCCTTAGAGTGTGAATGAGATCTTCATCAGCATTAGCATTACATCTAGAGCACCTTGGGTCATCAGTAAGTCCTCGTCTAAGGCGATTCACATTGCATAAAACTCGATTATGTAGTACGAGCCAGAGAAAGACTCGCACTCTCTGCTGAGCTAAGGTAGTCCATACCAGATCCCATTTGGGGTTTTTAGGGGTTGAATCATTCTCTTTGAGCAGCATCATGGCCTGTTTGACAGAGAATCTTCCGGTGGTCGAGCCTTTCCAGTACCTTAAATCAGCTATCTCTGGGTTGGCTGCTATCTTGAGTGAAGCAATCAATTCAAGTACACTTGAAGGCAAGAGATGAGCAAACTCATCCCATTTCCATCCAGCCTCAGCATCCCAGAATTCGCTTACAATTGCGCCTTCAATTTCATTTGGAATAGGCAGGATAGCTAGATCTCGTAATGGTGGGTTAGTGACCCAACAGTGGTCCCAAAAGAGAGTACGCTGTCCATTCCCAATTGCCACCATCGAACCTTTTTTTTATCAAACTAGCATTATCAACAATGCCACGCCATACATTAGACATGCTCGAAGTTGGAGTGAACATGTCAATGTCACAACGGCCTCGACAATATTTTGCTCTAATAACCCGTGACCATAAGGCAGAAGGTTCAGCTAATACCCTCCAGCCTAACTTTGTGAGAAATGCAGAATTTGATTGACGAGCAGACCTTATACCCAATCCACTTTTGTCTCGAGGGAGTTGAACCGTATCCCATGAGAGTAAATGGATTTTTGCTTTTTCCTCACTACCACCCCAGAGAAATCTACGGACTTTTTTGTCAATGGAGTCACAAATTGATCTTGGGATTTTTTGCGGTTTGCATTGAGTAAGTAGCTAAGGAAGTGACAGTAGATTTGGTCAGAGTAATTCTACCCGCAAGGGATAAATATTTGGATTTCCATCCCGTTAGACGCCTGTCAATTTTCTCACAAAGATGAGCGAATGTCTCTTTGGTAACTCTAGATGAGAGAACTGGCATGCCAAGATATGTTCCCAGATCATCGGTTGATTCCATTCCCAAGGCTTCACTGATTAGATCACCCTGTTCTGCATTAACATTCTTCGAATAGTAGACACGGGATTTTTGGAGGCTCACTTTCTCCCCTGAAGCCGCACAAAATCTGTCGAGACAGTCACGGATCACCACAGCCTGGTCAATTGAAGCTTCAGCAAAGAGCATGATGTCGTCGGCAAAGAATAAGTTGGACAAACTTGGTCCACCCCTACTTGCAAATATCGGTTTCCACCTATCACAAAGGACTGCTTCTTCGATTGTTTGGTTTAACCTTTCCATACATAGTACAAATAGGTAAGGTGAAAGCGGATCGCCTTGACGGATACCTCTTGTTGGATGAAAGGCCTCTGTTTTTTCTCCATTACATAATACTCTCATAGAAGGAGAAGTACCACTTATCCCTTATGAATTCTTCAAACTTTTCGTGAGTTAACCAAGCTGCTTGAAAGCGGAATGGTTTATTAATGGCAGCCAGAGGAGCAAACCCGCTTGGAGAGATAAATAAGGGAGTGTGGTCTGATTGGAGTGCAGGAAGGTGTTTTACTCTTGATGTATCAAACCGTAGCCCCCACTCAGAGTTACAAAGGGCTCTGTCAAGCCTAGCACTGTAAATAGTATCACTCGACTTTCCTCTCGCTCACGTGTGAGAGGGGCCTGAGAACTCGATCTCTAGAAGTTGATTATTCTCCACCCACGCATTAAAGCGCTCACTTCTTCTAGAGGTTTCAGAGCAACTAGAAGATCTCTCCCAATTATACCTTGTCTCGTTAAAATCGCCAGCAAGGAGCCAAGGTTGGTTATTATTTGCTGCAAAATTACTCAACTCAGTCCACAGTTCTGTTCTTTTCGAGGGATCTGGGCTTGCATAAATTGCAGTGAAGTACCATGGGACTTCACCTGTTCTTGTTATTACCATAGTGATGTATTGATTGTGTTTCACAATCGGTTCCACATTCACCAATTCCGGTTTCCAAAAAATCCAAATACCACCACTATAACCAAGAGTGTCCACTCTCGTGTGGCCATTGTAACTGATCACCCCCCATGTGCGTCTCAACCAGTGCTAAGACACAAGGTTTATTAACTCTGATTATTTCTTTAAGCACAGTGATAAACTCTCTACTCCCAGTCCCCTGAGTATTCCATATCATACAAGTGATAGGGAATTTGGATGTGACAAGGTTGTGATTATTCATAGACATCATAGACTGTGGATGTGTGGCATTGTAAGCATCAAAGAGATGTTTTAAGGCTTGCTTGATTTCATTGGGCAACTTGAGGGTCACCATCAACTCTATCATCATTTGGCTCGTCACAGACCATGAATGTATCTCCACTTCCAATTTGTGGGTCAGGGGGTCTGCAATCCCCATGTACGGATCCTCCATCTGTCTGTTGCACAGATGATTTTGTCCGGGGGGATTTGGAGTAACATCGGTGATGGGAGTAGCAGAGACATGGCTTAGGGAGATGGAATTTTGTGTTGCTGTAAAAGGTTCTTCTGGTATAGCTTGAGATGGCTTGGTAGGGGCTTCTTTTTGTGCTTGAAACACGGGTGCAGGCCTGGGAGTCTTGGGTGTTTGATTCAGGATTGGGCTAGGATCTTTTGACTGGATATTAGTGATATCCTTAAGGATAGAATATCCTTGAGAATTCTGTTTTTTTTTTATTCTTTTCCTTTCTTAGAGAAAGCAATCTTTTGGCCTTGATTCTCGTGATAACTTCCCACTTTAAATGGGATATTTGTTCCTGATTTTCCTCACCCAAAATTGAAAACCACAATCCTTGTTGATTTGCTTTTGAATTACCCACGGGCTTTGCCGGGCCAGGGCCAGGGTTGCCTGGGGAGAGCTGTGTGGTGTTGCTTGTTTCCCTCTTGAGGTTTCTCCACCCTAATGGTTCGTTTTCTTGGTGGTGGTTTTTTCACCATCATCCAAGAACCAAAGTCTTCCACTTCAACTCTTGGGGCAGTTTTCTCTTGATTGTGTGGAGGTACAATCTCAGAATCCTGATCCATGTCTTGGTTAATATGGCTAGGACACTTCTCAGCTTGATGTCCAATCTTACCACATTTGAAGCATATGAGTCGAAGTCCCTCATATTGCACTTGCCAGATTCTTCCTTTAAGCCAAAACTTTGATAGTAGTGGCTTGGTTAAATCTAATTCAACACTCAACCTAGTGAATTGGCCTCTTTGTGCCATGGCAGTGTTATTATCAATTCTAACAACCTTACCAATTTTGTTTCCAATCTTGTGCAAGAATTCCTTATCGAAGTATTCCACTGAGAGGTAGGGAATACGAACCCAGGCAGTAAGGTACCTTAGCGGGGCATCATCAGGGAT